TGTGATAAAATTAGGATGGTATTGGCAACAAAATAGACCTGAGGATCAATGGAATAGATTAGAAGATGCAGAAGCACTACACACACACACTCAGCCAGCTTATCTTCGACAAAGGGGCCAAACGTTCTTACTGGAAGAAAAATAGCCTCTTTAACAAATGGTGTTGGAAAAACTGGCTCTCTACATGCCAAAAACTAAAACTTGATCCAGGTCTATCACCATGCATTAATGTAAAATCAAAATGGATTAAAGATCTAAACATTAAAGCAGAAACACTATATGTACTGGAAGAGACAGTAGGAGGAACTCTTGAAGACATAGGGTAAGGAAACAGTTCATGAACAAAAATCAAACTGCATGGGTAATTCTTGAAAGAATTAACAACTGGGACCTCCTCTTATTGAGAAGTTTTTGCACGTCAAAAGAAATTACCTACAGGGTGAAAAGGCAACCTACAAATTGGGAAATTAGCTGACAAGCACTTAGACAAAAGTCTTCTCTCTAGAATTTATAAAGAACCAAAAAACACTAGAGCTCTAAAATTTAAAGACTCAATCCAGAAATGGGCATCCAGGATGAACACACACTACTCAGAGGAAGAAATTCTTGAAGTTAATAAATACAAGAAAAAATGCTTCACATCACTAGGCATCGTGAAATGCAAACTAAAACAACACTGATATGTCATGTCACCCAAGAAAGAAAGGTTATCATAAAGAAATCAAGCAAGAACAAATATTGGAGAGGCTGTGGGGAAAAGGAACCTTTCTCTGTTGCTGGTGGGAATGCAGACTGGTGCAACCATTATGGAAATCAGTGTGGAGATTCCTTAAAAAACTAGGACTGGAAATCCCACTCAAGCCAGCTATCCCCCTACTGGATATTTTCCCAAAAGAAATGAAAAAATATCATATCATACTGATATATGTGCACCTGTGTTTATAGCAGCACAATTTGTGTTAGCCAGATCTTGGAAGCAGCCAAAATGCCTGTCATCTGAGCAATGGATAAAAAGGGTGTGGTATTTTTATACAATAGAGTATTACTCAACTATAAAGAACGAAAAACTTGAAGCCTTCATATATAAGTGAATGCAACTTGAAGATGTACTCATAAGTTAAATAAACCGGACCCACATTTGTAAATATTGAATAGTCTCCCTAGCATAAGAACTCAAAAGAAAAAATAAAAATTGAAAGGTATAACACAACTAAATAGAAGGTGAGAACTTAAGGATTAAACAATGAAGAGAGCATAAGGAAAAAAGCCCAGAAATATGGCAGGGGTAAAACCATACATTTAAATAGACAAAATGGTTAAGGCAATGGTCCCAAGAAACTCCATCAGATTTTTGAAAATAGCAATTAATTGGTAGCATTCTCACCCTGACTAAATATATATGTTGATACCTGTGTACTAAGCAACTGCGTTGAGGATAGCAATGTTTAATACTAGGGCCATGCGTGGAATGCCTGCCATTCTGGTCTTCTAAATGCATGCTGCTTCTAATGTCATATCAATCACTGATATGCTCTCTCTCAAGTAAATGTTTAAAGAAAAAGGTAATAAAAAAACAAGAAGCAAGGAAAAAAAGTCATAGGACTGTTATGCTACAATGTTGTAGCATAGGTTAGATTTCTAAGTTTCTGTATAAAATTATGAAATTGTTTATTTTTATTTTTGTATTATTTTTATTTTTTAATTTTTACTTCTTTTTCATGTTCTATAGGGATTTAAAATTTAGCTTATCAACAATTTTTTGGAAAATACCTATTCCATGTTGTGTCTAAGGTATCTGATATTCAGATAGTCATGTTAAGCTCAATTGACTGCGTTGTAGGGTAATAATATCATTAAGCTTCTCTGCTGGAGGGTTAACCACTCAAGTTAGCAGACCAAAAAATTAGAGAAAAAGAAGGGCTGCAAGGACAGCCAACATTTTGGCCCTAGCCTTTCAATGTCAGTGAGGACTCAGGACATATGAAAACTTGTACTGTAACATCTTGTAACTCAGTGGTGTCTTGAATTTTCTGATCAAGGAGATTATGAGGCCACAGAGGAAGGTGATCAATGATGTAGAGTGTGCCTAAGGAGAGTCACATGGAGAGAAAACATTCTCTCAGGCTGTCACAGAGAGCAAATTGGTCAAGTAATGGCCGTGATTAATCCAGGTGGCTGACACTGACAAAAGATCCCTGAACTGTTGTACAGGATTTCAGTATAAATCCTGAGAGGACTTAACTGACCTTGTCAGATATAAAAGTTACATTTCTTATTATAGGTCTTGCTTTATCTTGGTCTTAACCATCCAGCACAAAAGTACAAACACGAGGTATAAAATATAAAGCCATATTAATATGCTGAGCTGTAAAGGCTCAAGGAAACAGCTTTTGACAATGTCAGTCCTGAGGATAACCCACTACTATTACAGACTACTGGACTATGTTGGATTATTTTGCTGAATTCACACACCTACAATATTTGAATGGCAATGGAATACCGATTTCTGACAAAACCAAACAAAAAAGGGGGATACAAATGAAGCGTCATTTTGTAGTGAAGAAAATATATATCTGTATACACAAAATAGTTAGGATAGATATACAGTTACATTCTTTTAGTTCAATGAGAAGAAAGATTTGTATTAATAGTGTTTAGACAAGATATCATGTCTGCATCTTGTACTATGAATAACTACTACAAAGACCACAATATGCAATGTATTAATTATTGTAACTGTCCTAGTAACCTGTTTATAAACTGTCCTATTGCTATTTATTTCTCAATAAAATTAATTAAAAATAGAAAAACAAAAAATATTTTAAAAAATACAGTGATACATATGTTGCAGATTTTCAAAAATATTAGCTCATTAACAATGGTTATTATAGTTTTATAACAAATTTTTATCATCAGATCTGCTTCTCAAATTGCCAGAAATAGTTATGCAAGATTGGACAAATTATTGATTATTAATATTTGATTTCAATCAACCTTAATTTTTATCTTATCTTTTTGATTTTAAAGTTTATTTTATAGAGTATCATAACAATTAATAAGAAATAAAATACATAATGCCTCACAAATTTACATGTCATCCTTGCACAAGGCCATTGTAATCTTTTCTGTATTATTATAATTGTTATAATTTCAGTATATTGGCTGCCAAAGCTAGCACAAGAAACACATTTAACTCACAAGGAAATTAGTAGACTAAACAACAAGGGATGGAAAATAATGCTCCATGGATAGGAATCCAGAAAATAAGTAGGGGTAGTTATTGTGGATGCCTACTACGTCAACTTCAAATCAAAACTGATTAAAAGAGATAAAGAATGTCATTAATACTTTTTAGTGGAAAGCTGCAAAAGGAAGAGAAAACAATTATAAATATATATGCACATAAATTTAGGAGCACCCAAGTATAGAAGACAAATTTTAATAGAAATAAAAAAAATTAAATGAGCAATAACAATTGTACTGGGAGACTTAAACACCATATTGACACAAAGGTCTAGATCAACTAAGCAAAAAAGTCAACAAAGAAATGGCAGAACCAAACCAAACTTGTGAAGAAATGGACTTAGTGGATCTTTACAAAGTCAGAATACACATTTTTGTCAGCTGCACATGGACTGTTTTCCAAAATTGACCACATACTACCATATACAGCATACTTAAGAAGATGCAAAGGAATGAAAATTATACCATGCATATTAACTGACAACAGTGCAATGAAAATGGAAATAATTGGCAAAAGAAAGTGCAAAAATCCCATAAACACATAGAAACACATACCCCACGGAACAATAAATGAGTCACAGAGAAAATTAAAGAAGAAATTAAACAATATTTACAAGCAAACAAAACTGCTGACACAACTTAATGGAACTTGTAGGATTCAATGAAAGCTGTCTGATGATGAAAATTTATAGCAATCAATTCTCACACCAGAAAAACAGAATGATTCCAAATAAACAATCTTATGCTATCCCTCAAGCTAGATAAAAGAGCAAATCAAGCCCAAAGCCTAAAGAAATGAGGAAATTTATAAAGATCATAGCAGAAATAAATATATTGGAGAAGAAAAAACAATTCAAAGAGTTAATGAGTCAAAGAGTTTTTCTTGGGAAAAAATAAATTAAACTGATAAACCAATAGCCAGATTTATTAGAAAAAGGAATGAAGAAATTCATATTCTCTCAATAAGGAAAGAAAAGAGGAAATCATTAAAGACTCTATAGTAATTTAGAAGATCAGCAATACCTATTTCCAAAATCTTTATTCTCACAGGATGGAAAACACAGGAGAAATAGACAGATTCCTAGATACACATGAATTTCCAAACCTGAATCAAAAAGACACAAAAATTGTGAATAACCAAATACCAGTGAACGAAATTTAAAACATAATAAAAAGAACCCACCAACAAAGAAAAGCCCATGTTCTGATGGATTCACGTCTGAATTCTATAAGAAATTTAGGGAGGATGTAATGCTAATCTTCTCAAGCTCTTCAATGAAATTGAAAAGGAAGCAGTTCTCCCAACCTTATCCATGGAGGTCATTATTACCCTGATTAAAAAAACCAGAGAAAGAACCAACTGAAAAAGAGAACTACAGGCCAATCTCCCAATGAACATTGATACAAAAATCCTCAATAAAATACTAGCAAAGAGAAAGTAGCAAAATATCAGGAAAATTATACATCATGATCAAGTGGAATTCATTTCAGTAGTGTGGGGATGGTTCAATACATACAAATCCACAAATGGAATACACTACATCAAAAGAGCCAAAGGAAAAAAATCACATCATCATCTCAATAAATGCGGAAAAAACTTTTGGAAAAGTCCAAAGCACATTCATGATTAAAAAAAAAAAAAACTACAGAAAATCAGAATTGATGGTTTTCACTTCAGTCTGACAACAGCTCTCTATGACAAACCAACAGCCAACGTCATAACAAATGGGCAAAAACTGAAAGCCTTCACTTTAAAATCAGGAACAAAATGAGAATGCCCACTGTGACCACTCCTATTCAACATAGTTCTGGAAACATTAGCCAGAACAGTTACATGAGAGAAAGAAATAAAAGAATAATGATTGGAAAGGAAGTAGGGAAAATATAATTATTTGCAGATGACATGATACTCTACATTGAAGACCCCAAAAACTCCACCAAGATACTTGTAGATTTAATAGTCAAATTCAGTAACATCGCAGGCTACACAATTGACACTGAAGGTCAATAACATTTCTCTGCAAAAGCAATGAACCTTCAAGAAAGAAATTAGGAAACCATGCCTTTCACAATAACATCCAAAAAAATGAAATACTTAGAAAGCAACCTCACAAAGGTAGTAGAAGATTCATACAATGAAAATTATGGTACTCTGCAAAAGAGATCAAAGAAGATTGCAGAAAATAGGAAGATATTCCTTGATTCTTATGGGATGTACCAACATTGTGAAAATGGTGGTACTCCCAAAATTGTTATACAGAGCCGTGCAATCTTGATTAAAATACCATTGATACGCTGCAGTGATATAAACCAAAGCCTGCTGTCCCTAGGCAGCAAAGAACAAGCAACAGGGCCCATGGATGAATGCTATCTTCCCTGGTAATTCTGGCAAGCTGGAATACAAGGTCACTGCAAGCTGTAAATGGCAGCAGTTTCCTGGAGCCAACCTCTCCTTGTACTGTCACGTGAGATGTTACTGACTAGTCTTGCATAAACTTAGGGTCTGATGAATGCCAAAACGCAAAATAGTAGTTTTCACAGAAATTAATTATGCACATTCCTTAGTCTTTGTTGTTGTTGTTGTTATTGTTTTACTTAGTACAGGGTCTACAGGGTCTCACTACACAGATGAGACTCATAGTGATCCTCCTGTTTTCAACCTCTGAAATGCTGGGATTACAGGCACCAGCCACAACACCCAGTCTCAATCACCACCTCAGTATAACTTAAGGGCAAGGCTGGCATGGCACACTGGGGATCGAACCCTGGCCACTGCACTCTGCCTAAGCAGGTACTTTAGTCCACTGAAGTATCTGGCCAGCCCTCTTAGCCTTCTTTTAGCCCTCAATAAATGCGAGAAGTTTTGGTGGCTCAAGACTCACTCAGAGTGAGACAAAGCTCATGAGTCTTCTATAGCTACATTAATCCAGTCTTCTCATCATTTCTTTTGGCTCCAACTGAAGAAATACAATATACCTCACAGATCTAGAGAACACATTTCTAAAACTTATCTGGATCCAGAAGCAACCCTGGGCAACAAAGGAAAAGCAGGAGGCACCACATCCCCTGACTTGAAATCATACTACAAGGTACTGTGATAAAATCAGCATGGTACTGGAAAAAAATAGACCTGAGGATCATGGAACAGATTAGAAGATGTAGGCATAGCTACAAACACAACTCAGCCATATTATCTTTGACAAAGGGGTCAAACATGTCCAGTGGAAGAAAGATAGCCTCTTTAATAAATGGTGCTGGAAAAACTGGCTTTTCACATACTGAAGACAATAATTAGAACCATGTGTATTCTAAAGTCAAAATGGATCAAAGATTTAAATAACAAAACCGAAACATTAAGTCTATTCAAGGAGAAGGTAGATAAAAATCTTGAAGACATAAGGGTAGGCAGAGATTTCATGAACAAAAAACAAACTGTGAGAGACATTCTTCATAGAATCAACAACTGGGATCTCATCATTTGAAAGCTTTCTGTACATTAAAAGTAATCACCAATAGAGTGAAAATACAACCCAGAAATTGGGAATAAATTTTAGCCAACTGTTCCTTAGACAAAGGACTTCTATCTCAAACCAATAAAGAATTTGAATAAATAAGGTCCTCAAAATTCAAAGACCCAATTCAAAATTGGGCATCAGAGATGAATACACACTTCTCAAAGGAGAAATACAAATAGCAAGTAAATATATAAAAAAATGTCCATTATCATTGGTCATTCAAAAAAAGCAAATTAAAACAACACTGAGAGGCCATCTCACCCCAATAAGTCTCGCTATCATCCAGAAGTCGAACAATAACAAATGCTGTGGGGTTAGGGGAAAAGGAACCCTTCTCCACTGTTGGTAGGAGTGCAGACTGGTACAACCACTGTGGAAATCAGTATAGAAATTCCTCAAAAAGCTATGATGTGAGGTCCCATTCAACGCAGCTACTCCCTTCCTGGGTATTTTTTCAGAAGAACTGAAAGCATCATATCAGAATAATATATGTGCACCCATGTTTATAGCAGTACAATTTGTCATAACTAAATCTTAGAAACAACCCAAATTTCCACTGACTGAGGAATGGATAAAAAAGACACAATATTTTCACACAATGGAGTGCCACTCACATACAAAAAAGATAAACTCAAGGCTTTTATAAGTAAATAAATGCAAGTAGAAACCATACTCATAAGTGAAATAAGTCAGATGTACATTTGCAAATATCATATTAACTCACTTGTATAAGAATCTCAAAGAGTAAATAAAATCTGAAAGGTACAATAGATACTGTGAAAGGGAAAGAATCCATTCAAAGGGAAGGAACAACTGAGATAAGTAAAAGGACAAAAGAAAGAAGGAAGGCAAAAAGATATATTTATGTATATAGCCAGGACAGCTTGGATAATTGTACTGCTGGTCTATTGAAAGGAGAAGTCATTGCTTAATTTTTGTTTTCTTGTCCATTTTAATTTCTTTCCTTTTTTTTTTTTTTGCGGAACTAGGGATTGAACTCAGGCCCTTGTGCTTGCCAGGAAAGCGCTTATTCTACTGAGCCATCTCCATGGCCCCTATGTCCTTTTTAATTTCTGATAACTTTATAAACCATTAAATGCCTTAAATGCCTCTATCTGATCATCTAAACAACTAATTTGAAGACAACTTTATCAATATAAAAAGCATTGCTGAATTCTATTATTTGGTTTAGTGAAGCTGTTTCTTTTTTTTGCTTTTTCTTTGTTTGTTTTTTTTTCCTCTGTTTTATGTTTTTTGCTTTTTTTTTTCTTTGCAGCCTCTTTTTTTTATGGAGCTTGCGGCAGTGTCTTTCTGCATTGTTACTGTTGAACCTGGTTCTCTGTCTGTGAACATTTGCTCCTGTTCCTTAACTATTGATTGATGATCTATCTACATACGGAGAGGGATT